TTTTTTTTTTTTTTGTTTTTCCAATCCATAATTTCTCCTTCTTCTTCTACTTTTCTTTTTTTATTTTCCGAAAGAAAAAATATTTCAAAATTTTAGCGTTGTTAACACTGCTGAAACTGTGTCATCCACTAAATTGTCGTTTATTGAATGCCGCAAAAACAAAAACAAAATTAAATGAAAGCTTCTGTTATACTGCATTGAATACATTTATGAATAAAACTTATTTATTCAATAATTCTTTATACGACAAAAATATTGAGGTGCACCACATGTAATACCAACATTAGTAACAGCTACGGCCAAAAAAAAAACCAGCGAACGAATGGTAAAAAAAAAAAAACCAAATTACGAAAACTTTAACGGCAGACTTTTTTTTTTTTTTAGGTATTATTTTGTCGTTTTCTTACCAATTTTATCTTTATCAAGAAAAAACAAAAAGAAACAGAAAAAAATTTAAAACAACTTCCGTTCAATTAGCCACTATAAATATTATAGCACAGCGCGACGGCAAAAAAAAAAAAAAAACTGTAACAATGTCTGTCTTCAGATTCATCAATGTGTTTTGAAAAAAAAAAAAAAATTTATTAAAGCAAAAAAAAAAAACTGTTGATAAATTACGAACGATTAGTGAACTAATGAAAGCTGTTCTAAAGATGAAGAAAAGACAAAAGAAAGAAAGGCAGTTAGTTATTGGTGACATCATTTTCCAATGCATTAAAAATGCATTGAAATCACCAAATATATTCGGCTTTCTCTGTGGCTCTAATGCAATTATGTCGGATTGTACTCCGGTTTTTTTTTCTTGTTTTCTTCCCCCCTTCTTATACCCTTCTTGTTTTTTTTTTTATCTCCCTTTTAAAATTTCCTCTCTGTTTTTAAACCCCGCCGCAAACAGCACTGTTTCTGTGATGCGAAAATCTAGGTTATACAAAAATTTTTCACAATAGTTCGTTCATAAAAAGCAACGGTTTTCTAAAGACGATATACCTCCACAGTTGTAAAAATGGTATTTACGATATCGCTTGCGGTTAAACAACACTTTTAACTTCAATTTAATTTCTCCACAAACTAACAACGGCAACAATGGCAACAACGGCAATAACGGTAAAACAACGGTAATATCATCGACAACAATAGTCCAATGATCCGTTTCTGTTCTTGTTGCACAGAATTGTTTCAGTGAACTTTTGGTCTTTAGCCGGTAATATCAGCTAAGTCTTCAACTTTGTTTTTTTATCCTTCTCCTTCAGAAGCTGCTAAAAATTAAGTATCTTCCACTGATGAGGACCGCCATAAAGTATTGCCTGTTGCTATTTGCCTTTTTTTATATGGTTGAACCAAAATTACTTGGCATATTTTTGATGTCTGTTCTTTCAGATTCATTGATGCTTTTGCACTGTTTTTTATCAGAAACGCTATTTGCTACTTCTCTTCTCTTTTTTTTTTTTGTTGTTAAGCCACTATTTATTTTCTTTTTTACATTTTTTATTTCAAAAAGAATTTAAACGATATTACTTATGTAAAATAAAAAAATGTTTTTAAAAATATATCATAAAAAATGGCTTCTCAAAATTGAAATTGAACTTCTAAAATACTCTTTTTTTGTTACACCATTTTAAAAAACATTTCTTCTTAGGTTGAGCCGATATACAAATAAACGGCAATTGCGCACAGCGAATGAATATCTCTGACGATCCTTTTTAAGTTTATCAATGTCTTTTTTCTTTCCCTTCTTTTTTTTTTCTTCTCTTTTTTTTT